CAAGGTGGATTTAGTGGCCATTTGCTCTTCTCCTCCACAGGCACCCTTCTGAAACTTCTGGGTGTAGGAATGGCCCTTTCTATGTCGGTTTTCCCCCTTATGTGTGCTTATGTGTTGGGGGGGGCAACGTGACCCACAGACTGAACTTTGACTACCTTTCAACTATACAGATTCAGGGATATTGGCAAGTCTTAGGGTCCAAATCCCAAGTCCAAATTTTTGGTACCAAGTCCTGAGTTCAAGTCCCTATTTAAAACAATTTCTCTCCAGAAAAAAGGGGAGGGTGGGTGGGTTCCGAATTGCGAGTTGAATCCGAGTCATGGGGGCGGGGAACTGAGTCGAATCCCAGTTGAGTCACTAGTGTGACAAATCCAACTTAACAGCAAGTCATGCAACAGAGTCCCCATCTCTGCTAGAAAGACTCTTGATAGGGGTTTTGTGGCGCAGAGGTTGAACTGCAGCACTGCAGCCAAAACTCTGCTCACGTTCCAGGTTCAATCCCAGGTAGCTGGGTCAAGGTTCACTCAGCCTTCCATTCTTCTGAGGTCAATAAATGGAATACTCAGCTTGCTGGGGGGGAAAGGGCAATGTGTAGCCTGCATAATTAACTTGTAAACCGCTCAGAGAGTGTTTGAAGCACTGTGGAGCGGTATATAAGCATTATCTTTTTTCTTTGATCTAATCTGGCTGGGTTCTTCTTGGACTGTATTTAAAACAAGGACTTTTTCGATGTCATCTCTCTCTCTCTCTCTCTCTGTCTCTCTCTCTCTGTCTCTCCAAGGTCCAAGAGTCTCTGAATCAGTGCCAGGGAACCGGGTCCAACTGCGGTTATCAGGTTTGCGCCGGGACACAGAGTATCGGGCCAGCATCTACGGGGAGAAGGAAGGGAACCGCAGCTCTCCCATCAGTGCCACTTTCACCACTGGTAGGTGGCCAGGGTTGAGAAAACCTCGTCCGCGTATTTAGGAGCAACACCGGAGAGGCTTGGAGACAAGTCTTCAGGGGACGCTTTGTCCGCCTCCCTTCCTTTTGAGCCAGAGCTGTAACTAGCAAATGAGTCACCTGGGGAAAGCAGTGCGAAATGTGCCCCCAAATTGACCCCAAATCAGTTCATAGTGTGAAAACAGTAACAGGAGTAATCATAGGATTGGATGCCTTGCCAGCGTCTTCCCTCCTCCTCAAGGGATAGTCAGCAGTGTCAGAGCTGCGTGAAGAAAAACAATGTTTGCTTGTTTGTTTGTATGTATGTATGTATGTATGAATGAATGAATGAATGAGTGAATGAATGAATGAATGAATGAATGAATGAATGAATGAATGAATGAATGAATGTGGCAGGCTATTATCACAAATCTGGGGAAGAGGCATGCCCACTAAATTTGGTACCCTGGGGTACCAACACTGTGACTATTATGGCTCAGTTTTTAGCTTTCCCTCATTTGCATTTCTGGATTGGGAGCATTCACTTCTTCTTAGGGGTAGAGATTTCCCCGAAGGCAGATAACAAAATCAGCCTCCCTTGGTTTTGAAACCCTTTCCCCTCTTCCTTCTCCAGGTGCAGACGGACCCCGTGACCTCCGCGCTAGTGAGATCTCAGCCCGCAGCGCACGTCTCACCTGGTCGCCACCCCGCGCCTCTCCTGGCGGGTACCTGTTGAGTTATGAGGCCCCATCTGGACAATCAAAGGTACCAGAAAACCTTTGGCTCGGCTGGTGTTGCAGTCCTCCAAGAGAGGAGACTTCCCAAGGGTGAACAGTACAGTGTGTCATTTGTTTTCGAACTGGAATATTATATTCTAGCACAGAGAGTATCCGCAGTCCTCCGAGGGAGGAGACTTCCCAAGGGTGAACAGTACAGTGTGTCATTTGTTTTCGAACTGGAATATTCAGGCATAGCACAGAGAGGTCAAAGAGACAAGCATGCGAGCAGGAAGCACAGTTTTTAATCTTGCACCACCTTTCAAAGCACCCAGAATCTCATGAGCAGCATGGATTCTCAATGTTACAGTCCAGAAAATCAACTTTTCCAAGCTCTGACCCTTACACTGCTTCACTTCCAGCCAGGAGGCACTCCGATCCAAAGCCTTCTGCTTCAGATGCTGGTCTCATGCAAAAAGGGATTTCAGGCTGTCAGGAGAACATCTCCTGTCCATCATTACTTATCCTGGACTACATATGATCAAAGGGGACGGGTTGGCGCTGCGGGCTTAACCGCAGAAGCCTCTGTGCTGCAGGGTCTGAAGACCAAGCAGTCGTAAGATCGAATCCACGCGACGGAGTGAGCGCCCGTTGCTTTGTCCCAGCTCCTGCCAACCTAGCAGTTCGAAAGCATGTAAATGCGAGTAGATAAATATGTACCACCTCAGTGGGAAGGTAAAACAGCGTTCCTTCGTCATGCTGGCCACATGACAACGGAAACTGTCTTCGGACAAACCTTGGCTCTATGGCTTGAAAAACGGGATGAGCACCACCCCCTAGAGTCGGACACGACTGGACTAAAAATGTCAAGGGGAACCTTTACCTTTACATATTATCAAACTGTCAGCCAAAGGGATAATCCTTCTACATCCGTACCTCTTACAATAAGGCTCCAGAATGCTGATCCCATGGGTAGCTCTCCAACTGGAGATATTGTGCATTGGTCAAGCTGTATCCGGAGCGTATGACTTGTTCTGAGCACCACCACATTCTAGGAAAAATGCGGCCAAGCTAGAATCTATCCAGGCAGAAAGGATCAGGATGGTAAGGGGTCTGGAAGCCAAGAAATGGTGGAATGAAATGAGTATTCTCAGGTTGGGGAAGATTTAGGATGGTAAGGGGTCTGGAAGCCAAGTCCAGCCAAGAAATGGTGGAAAGAAATGAGTATTCTCAGGTTGGGGAAGATTAGGGGGATTGGTGGTAGGTATCTTTGAACACCCGAAAGGGAGCAAACCTGTTCTCTGTTACTCCAGAGTTAAAGACTAGAAGACGGGCTGGAAACTGCAGAGATTTCATCAAAAAAGGCCAGGAGAGACCTTTCAAGAGTGAGAGGTATTTGGGCAGTGGGGCAGACTAGCCTCATGCATCTCTTTAAGGCAGTGGTTCCCAGCCTTGGGTTCACCCAGAGGTTCTTGGACTCAAACTTCCAGAAGCCTTCACCTCTAGCTGTGCTGGCCAGGATTTATGGGAGTTGTAGTCCCAGAGCCACCTGGGTAACCCGAGGTTGAGAACCACTGTTTTAAGGAGGGCGTGCCACTTCCCTTTTCAGAGGAGCGACTCAGTGATAAAGACATCCTTTGCCCACATCGCCTTTCCTGGCAGGGATTCTGTTTTGCTGTGGACAGCCTATGGTTGGGTTCTTCCTGTTACGCCCTCTTCTCTTCCCTGCAGGAGATCCCCCTGGGTGCCTCCGTCACATCCCACGAACTCCAGGACCTCATTCCTTCCAGCCGCTACCAAGTCCAAGTCCAGGCCTTGAGGAGAGGAACGCCGACGGCTCCCACCTCCACCTCATTCACCACTGGTAAAAAAAGGGGGGGCCTACATCTCTCTCTCAAGGCTTGAAGGGGCAAGAGGGGGGGGAATCACCCGTCATCCCTGAGCAAGTTTACAAAGGCCGGTAGCCTTTGTAAAACCATCCCCGGCCAGAAAGTTCATTTGAATTTTTTAAAAAACACAATGAAACAAACCAACCCTGCTGGGTCGTCCTCCTGTTCGACGGTGCTCCGAGTTCAAAGCACGACCAGGCAAGGGGTTTCCAAAGGAGAAGAGGCTCCAGAAGGATTGTTTTGAGCCTGCCCTGCAAAAATAAATGGTCTGGGAAGAAGGGAGGAGGATGCCTGCGGGGTGTGAAGCAAGATCTTACTCCTAGCTAGCTCACAAGGAGGACAAAGACAGGGATGGTCTACAGCAGTGGCTCCCAACCTTGGGACGCTCCTGGACTACAATTCCCAGAAGCCTTCATCACAAGCTCTGCCACCTACAGTGTCTCTCTTCCCTTCCACTTTTTCTCTTCTGCAAAGCTTAGCCTTTCTCCTCTTCTTCTGTACTCCTATAGTCTTTGCTGCATAGTCACTGGTCAACTATGAAAGGCAGATTAGCATATTCCTTGTGTCGCGTACATAAAAAACAGTGCTGCAAGAATGGGATGGCTTATGAAGAGATCTGCAGCAAAATGTTGCACCACTGAGGACATTCGTTCACATTTTGAGCCAGCTGGGCCATGCCCTCTTCCACGATACTCCATCACCCTTCCCCTCCTTCCCCCTCAACACCAGACCCCACCCCACAAGATCCAGGGACTCTGGAGGAGGCTCATTTCTCGCTGAGATATTTTCAAGTCTTCCCTCCGCTTTTTCTCTTCCGCAAAGCTTACCCTTTCTCCTCTCCTTCTGTACTCCTGTAGTCTTTGTTGTATAGTCGCTGGTCAACTATGAAATACAGATTAGCTTATTCATTGTGTCACGTACATAAAAAACAGTGCTGCAAGAATGGATTTTTAGGATTAGGGTAATCATCATCATGCACCATCAAGTCAACTCTGACCTAGAGCAACCCTTTTTTCAGGGTTTTCTAGGTAGAGAATACACAAAAGGGGCTTTCCCTTCCCTTGCTCTAGGGGGCGCCCTGGGACTGTGCAGCTTGCCCAAGGCCACCCAGGCTGGCTCTACTTTCAGGGGACACAGTGGGGAATCGAACTTCCAACCTTTGGCTCCACACCTAAACTACTAAGCTATCAGGATAGATCCCGATAAACTTACCCTTTCTTCTCCCGGCAGAACACCTGACGTACCCCTTCCCTCGGGATTGCTCAGAGGAGAGCATGAACGGGCCAGGACCTTCTCGGGTAACAACCATTTATCTGGGGGGCAACCGGGAACGCCCCGTGCAGGTCTACTGCGACATGGAGACCGATGGAGGAGGCTGGATCGTGAGTATGGGAGGGTGTGGTTGAAGGGAAAGTGCCGTGGGGAGCCTCCAGGCATTTTATCATTTGCTGCACACAAGAGAGTGTTATTTGTCTGTCACAGGATTTGGCAGCCTGGGCCTCACAAGGACCTGTTTTTACAAGGAGAGGGGAAAAAATCTCCAGTCTCTAGTGAAAAAGTTCTCTGTCCTTGAATCTTCAAGATATAGAATAATAACCATGTGCCATCTGGTCAGTTCCCCCTTATGACTCAGAAGTTGTTTCCAGTTCTCTTCTTCTGGGGGGGTTCCCTGGGACTGTGCAGCTTGCCCAAGTCCACCCGGGCTGGCTCTGATCGCAGATGTACTGTGAGGACTGGAACTCCTAACCTCTGGGTCTACAGCCAGAGACCTAAGCCCCACAGAGACAAGAAGGTGACCTATAACTTTGGCAGTCAGAAGGCCGTGGGATCCAAATTTAGGAATCTGAATTTGTTCCAAATAGACCCTTTCTGTAACTTACTTTCGCTGGTCTCCTGAGCCAGAGAAACAAATAAGGAACCCTTTATTTATTTATTTATTTATTTATTTATTTATTTATTTATTTATTTATTTATTTATTTATCTATCTATCTATCTATCTATCTATCTATCTATCTATCTATCTATCTATTT